ATTTTCTCGGTCGTCCTTCAATATTTTTGATCCGGGTTTTTTTCATTGTGTTCCTCATAAAAAAGTAGAAAGTCTAGGGTCGATTTATTTTTGTGTCAAACCGATTTCGAGATATCAGTGTCCGAAAACGAGGTCCAAAAAAAAGTTCTCCAAATCCAATGTCCAGGATATCAGTCTTATAGGAAATTTCCTCAGGATTCCGAATCTGGAAACCAAATTTCGATCTGACTTCCGGTTCAGAAGTTATGGCGTTTTGAAAATTCAAAAATCGCTAAATTTGGTGCCCCATGTTAATTCAATGGGAAAAAATATTTTTTTGAAGTGTAAAATACGAGATATAGACTAAGCACAGCTAAACATAATGGAAGCCCATAAAAGAAAGGGACCTCAAAACCTTCTTTTCATAAAAATTTGGACACCAAAATGCCTAGGTCAAAATCTAGGTCAAATTCAAAGTTTTTCCTTATTTTTGCGATTCTGACACTACAGATTAATTATATTCTTCGAAATTTTGTATACATGTAGCCAAGAGTGTGCTAATAGTGTTAGCCTTTTGCCGTCAGAAAGTCTTGTGACCCACTTTTGAGATATGGTGTCCGAAAAGTAGGTCAAAATAAAAAATTCTCAAAATTTAACGTTTAAGTTATGAATTAAGTATAGAATTTTCTCAGGAATCCGAATCTGCAAATCAAATTTCGATCCGACTTCCGGTTCGGAAGTAATGACATTTTGAAAGCTCAAAAATCGCTAAATTTGGTGCCCCATGTTATGTCAATGGGAGAAAAGAATTTTTTGAAGTGTAAAATACGAGATATAGACTAAGTACAGCTTAAAATAATGAAAGCTTATGAAAGAAGGGGACCTCGAAGGCTACTTAACTTCAAAATTTGGACACCAAAATCCCTAGGTCAAAATCTAGGTCAAATTCATAGTTTTTCCTTATTTTTTCCAATTCTGACACTATGTTTAAATGATTTGCTTCAAAATTTTGTATACAGGTAGGAAAGAGTGTGTTTATAGTGTTAGCCTTTGCCGTCAGAAAGTATTTCGACCCACTTTTGAGATATGGTGTCCGAAAAGTAGGTCAAAATAAAAAGTTCTCCAAATTTAACATGTGAGTTATGAATTAAGGGTAGAATTTTCTCAGGAATCCGAGTCTGCAAACCAAATTTCGATCCAACTTCTGGTTCGAAAGTTATGGCGTTTTGAAAGCTCAATTTCGGAAAATCGATCTGATGGTATCCTGATAGAAAGTCAAGAGTAGAGAAGTCGAAAATTTTGAAAAATTTATCCATCCTTCCTATCTGATCTTATCCTATCCTATCCTTCCTATCTATCCTTCCTTCGTATCTTTTCCTTCCTATCCTCTCCTATTATATCCTTTCTTCCTATTCTGTTCTATCCTATCCTTCTTTCTTATTCTATCCTATCGTTCCTTCCTATTCTATCCTATCCTACCTTCCTATTTTATTCATCCATCTTTTTCTGGATGACTCAGCTTATTCTGGATGACTCGGCTAAAAATGGTCTAAATCTGGAGTCTGAAATTGAACTTCGTTCAATTTCCAAAGTCTAGTTATTATATCACTATCTAGCTAGCGACAGTATGATTGGTCAAAACCGGGTCACATGTCGTGGGATATCTGGCGATATTCAATGGCAATGCTAATCAGATAAGACAACCGTGAGATATCTAGCGATATCCCACGCTCCCGGGAATTTTCAAAGAATTTGTTTTCGTTCAGTGTAAATAATTTAGTTCAGTGTAAGTCAAAATGGCAGACGAACCGAGTAGATTCATAAAAATATCTGAAGACTTAATGACTTAATAATATTAGGGATGTTTAGCTAGACAGTGATATAATAAAACAAATATTTCACTCTATTTTCGGTGAATACCTGTAGCACTTTCACAAGGTGATATTCCACTTGCCCTTCGGGCTTCGTGGAATATCACTTGTGAAAGATGTACAGGTATTCACCTCAATAGAGTGAAATATTTGTTCAATATCCGATGTGGTATCGTATTACTCCCGTCGAGAGCTACTTAGATTTTGAAAGTATAGCTCTCTATCGCTAGGATCAACAGCTTAAGAATCCTGACTTCAAAGAAAATTTCAGGGAATTCAGCTGACTCATGTTGCACATTATATACCTGAAAATGTATCCTACATCGCCATCTTTCATTCAGCTCAACTATAGAACGTCTCACTGCCCTATGTATCGATCAGGACTTCATTTTATTGGTCGTGTCAAAAGTTTTGGCCAGGTATATTCAATATGGCGGCTTGACGTTTCCCAAGTTGCGCATGCGTCGATAGTATTTCCGTTTAACCGCCATATTGGAAATGGGTATCGAACAAAAAACGATTAGAACTCCTGATCGCCATAGAAGCACATCCGCGATCCTACATGCACGGGGAAAGTAGACACATATGAGCCCATATGTAGGCTACAGTTTGAGACAAACAGCAAGCCGTTGACTGGCGCTGATCAAATTAAGATGTTACAATTCTTCAGCTGGGAGATCCTCACGATGGAGAGCTATACTTTCAAAATCTACATGGTAGCTCTCGACGTGAGTAAGTATCGTACTGTTAAACCAAGGGAAAGATCAATACCCGGTGATTTCAGCGGGAAGTGGCGTTTCGTTCATTGGATGAGCTGCGCGCGCACGCATAAATGTGATTATCCAATATAATTAGGGGAGGGCTATTTGAAGTAGTTTTTGGTCTCAGGCGCGACCCAGGGCTGTTGTCTTAAGGACATTTCGTTGAAAATGAGCCATTCGGCTGATAATTGGTAAGAGTTTGCGATCTTATAATGTATAACTGTTACTCAGACACATATTTTGACACGATTCTGTTGGAAATAAGCTTTGAACCGAGAGATATTCACGATTGATATGCACATTTTTGATTGTGCCATTGCTTTTCTATTGCACAACCCATGTATTGATAGAAGAAACATTAATAATACAGATTGGTTTACCTTCAATACATGGCAGACACTACATATCGGTCTATTAATACCAGTTTGTGCCTTAAATAGTTTTATATTTCCATCCACGGCCTGGAGCCTGGGTGTGTTTGTCTCTTATGTGTATGCTTGTGCATGGACTTCTAATCACTAGCAGAATTTAACATGATGCAAACTCGACATTATAACTCATGCTGTAACATTTTGACTTCGCTGGAAAACAATAGGAATTATTTTTCTTGCCAATCAATCATGAATCACAATCAAAATTTCAGAATGATCAATCAGGCAATGATCCAAATCAAGTTATAACATTATATGATATTCAGCAAGAAGTCCGGTAGAAATACAGAATATTTAAACATCAAAGCTGAAAGTTAAAAGCTAATCTGTCAATTTTCTGTCTGCAAAAGAGCGTCCCAAGAGCGTCTACATTTGACACAATAACAGACTGAGGCCTTGAAATCTAGGATTCCCCAGGAAAATATGACGTCATACTAATTAGCATAAGGATTTCCCTATTGGGGTGGGTCGAGCCTTGTTCGAAAACACAATCCATAAATACATGCTAATTTCTAAGGAGATAGGAAGTGTATAACGTGTTTATCGATTTTGTTTAAAGATTTAATCAATTATCAAATTGTTTAAGTGGATAAAGTGGTCACACTTGCTTCAATTCATAGCGAAATCGACGGATAGAAACTGACCGAATTCCCGATATCCTACCCCGTATTACTGTAGGCTATAAGCACAGTGACCTACAGAGGGCGCTATCACAAACAAGTACTGGACGAACCGATAAATTCCCGGGTATTGTAACGCCCTTGGTTAAACCAGTGTATTCCCTCAGTCGTGCACTATGCAATACCTTAATGGATCAAGATCATAGATGATGTGGTATAGGGGATTTCAAATTTTCAAATTGCTACTACAAAACAGCAACTCCACGGAGTAGCAAATCCCATCGTACAAAAAATATGTTAGTAATACCTTGTCATTTTGGACAGTAGATGATAGAAATAACCAGGAAATAGTAGAGGAGTATTGTCGTGGCGTGACTAATGCCATATATTAAATTCTTTCCTGAGCAAATATATTGCACAAAATCCTATAACTGTAATTTAGCCATCTTGAAAATTCCTTCTTGAGTAGAGTCCCTATGTCCCTAAGCATCAGCACATTAAGTTTGGACCATATCTGTCAACTGAAAAACATTACATAAATTTCATGGAAATGGAGGCCTTTTAGAAACGAGTGCTCGCAATTAAAATGCCTCCTTGAACAGACATCCTTTGCTCATACGATATTACTACAAGAAATTACTTGCATATAGAATTAAATGATTAAGGTTATGTTATCAAAACCGCAGAAATTTTATAATTCAGCTGCCATCTTGAAAATTTGTTCTTGAGAAGAGCTCATTTGTCCCAAGGCATCAGCATATAAAATTTGAACCAAATCTGCCGACTGGTATTTAAGTTATAAAAGACTATATTCAGATATTGCTACAAAAAAGTGTGGACATTTTGTCATCTTGAGAGTTACCCCATCAATCATGTCAATAGACTTTCTATGACCCTAGAGCATCAGAATGTAGAATTTGAACAAGATCCGTCCGCTAGTACATGAGTTATCTTAAAAATTTATTCTTGCATCAGCGTGTAAAATTTGAACCAAATCCACTGGTATTTGAGTTATCAAAAGCAAGGAGGATTGGCAGCCATTATTAAAACTCGATGCTCCGTTTAGTCCCCACGCGGTACTAACTCGACTGGGCGTATCGAAACCAAAACGCCCAGCAAAACCGTTAATTTGAATTTCAAATCTACTCTGTCTTTGGAAAATCAATGATTGTGAGTCTCACACTACACCGTTTTTTAAGGTTAAGTTTTATTTATTTGCAATAAGATTATACATTTGTTAACATACTAGGAAGTCCTAGGTAAAACATTACATTATGGCCTCCCTTATATAAAATTTGCAAATTAACATATATTTATAACGGTTCTCAAAACATGTGTCCTGTCTTTTATAAGAGTTACACAGTCCTTATGGGAAATGTAAGGAATGAATGATAATGATTGATGAAAGATGGGTTGAACTTTGTCCTTACGATCATGAATTTTTATAAAGTATCAGATGATTTTGTCAATAAAATTTGCTGATAAATTGGTAATTTCTTTGTTACATTCATCTGAGAGTTTACAATCTCCAAAAAGCATAATCTTGATTTTACTAGCCTTTGTTAAAGTGGCAAAGTTGTTATAATTAAAACTAGGCAGCTCCTTCAGGTTTTGGGTAAAAACCTCTCTGGCTCCATTCGATAGAGGGCAATCAAGGAGTAAATGAGACTTAGTTTGCTGTTGATATCCACAGGGGCAACTGGGATCTGTAAACTCTTTAAAATTGTGTCTGTAAAAATCTGCTCTGGATGCCAGGTCAACTCGGATACGATTCAATTTAATTTCGATAGATCTTTTGAGGTTTAGTTTTGTGGTCAGCACTGAACGGGTGTTGGGGTTATATTTCCATTTATTGTAACGTGACTTAAAGGCTGATATTGAGGGACTCTTCTTGACGTCCATATTCTTAATGGCTGGTGAATTTGTGAATTTTGTGGATGATTTAGCAGGAATGTTGTATTCGTGTCGGGCACGAAGAGCACTTAAAGATTTCCAATTTAAAGCGGATAGAACTTTGATCTCGGAGGAACCCTTTATGGCCCCAGACACGACTAAGGCTGCTCTATAATGCAGCCTGTCGAGTGTGATTAAGGCATAGTTTGGTGCGCAGTTGTAGAAGATAGAGCCGAATTCTATTTTAGGCAAAATAAAAGATAGGTACATTCTTTCAAGATGTTTGGATGAGATTCTATTTTTTAAAGCGATTAAAGGATTTAGCATTTTGTCTATTTTAAATTTAAGCTGATCTATATGTTCTTTGAAATCAAGGTGATTACCTAAGATAACGCCAAGGTGTTTATGGTGTTTTACTCTCTCTATTTCTCTGTCGCTTAAGGTCAAAATAGGGTAATTTCTTTGGGCTCGACCAGATTTGGAGAAAATAATTTCTTTGGTTTTAGAGGGCTTGAAATTTAAGCCCCATACTCTTGACCAGTCGTAAACATTATCCAGGTTCACCGTTTTTCCTCAAACTTGTTCCATTAAAACCTTCACAGAAATACCTTTCAGTCGAGACATTGCTTTTGTTTACAAAGTCCCTCGTTTTAGCGGCGTTTTGGTCCCCAGATGTGAGAAGTTGCAAATCCTCAGAGATTTCAACCATAATTCTTGATATCTCGCCAGTTCTTCTAACACTCTCCCCAATATTCTGCGCAAGGACTCCTATTACAACCCTCCATCGCTGCGTCAACATATTTATTACATGAAACGAAACAATTTTGAAAAATCCTACGCAATTGTTCGAAATTGACCAAAACGCCTCGTTGTCTTCCAAAACGTCCCGCAGTCAAGTCAGTATCTAGATAGATCCAACGGGGCGTTTTGGAAGAGAACGGGCGTTTTGATCAATTTCGAACAGATGCGTAGGACTTTTGGAAATTGCTGCGTTTAATGTTATAAATATGTTGATGCAGAGATGGAGGGTTGTAATGAGAGTCCTTGTGCAAAATATAGGAGAAATAAAAGAACTGGCGATGTATTGAGTCTTTTGGTTGAAATCTCTGAAGATTTGCATCTTCTCACATCTGGGGACCAAAACGCCGCATTCTTAGCATTTCAAACTATGATTTGTAATGAATCCAAATGACAACTGAAACTTAAAAATTCTGATCTAAAAAATCATACTAGAAAAAAAGCAACTCCATCCCACCTAATGAATCATAATTTATCGAGTATCATTGTGAACATAATGAACAATAACCTGGCATTACTATTGTCTTCTCCCTTCTCCCAAAACATACCATATTAGAGATCCCTTCTCAATTAGCGTCACTATACCAAAACTAATAATCGGTATTTGTGAACTATCAGGAATCATATTACTTTAAATTATCAAAAATTTCATTAAAATGGTGGCGATTTTGAATTCAAAAAGCAGAAGTCCTTTGTCCCTAAGACATCGCCATATAAAATTTGAGTCAAAGTGAAACTCTAGATTAATCTTTAAAATATGAAGAAAGGTTCTTTTGATTCTGAGTTATTTCATCCTCTTCCCGTGAAAGGACCAAATCCCAAAACTGTTAGTAAGGTTTTCAAAATCAATTTTTTCATGAAAAATGGAGTGTCTTCTTGAGCAGAGACCCTAGATATTACCAAAGCATCAGTATATAAAAGGACCTTATACACCCTCCATTGGGATCTCCCCATGGGAAAAAAATAATTCATCTGATTTTTCAAAATGAGTATTCTGCTTCAATTATTACATTTATATGCACACTAGTATCTTGTAGACCTATATTCAGCACTGTATTGATGTATAGGCCACTTATTAGGGTCATAATTCAATCATGAAGTGTAGACAGGTAGAGGCATAGATTCAAAACCAGGAAGTATTTTTGTGTCTGTCAAAATCCATTTACATCATTATTAAGTTTGCAATCGATTCAGGTCATAGTGTATTTTTGGTATTTCTGTGATAATCAATGGAAACCAATGGCCTCTATTGGGATCTGCTGATATCCTCATGTTAAGTCAATGGTGCACAGCCCCATGTAAGTCAATACAACCTTACTGAACGAAATGATCCCTATCTCAGCTTATGTGTGTCCGAGCACTTTTATACTTTCCAAAGTATTATATGACATTTTATTCTTCATGTTACACCTACAAATGATTCATTTTGACCATAGGGATATTTGCCAATAATTGCACCTTGTCCTTTGAACCAAATCTGTCAACTGATAGTTGAGTTATCGCTCTGACAGATGGACAGATGAATAAACTAACGTATGGCAGGACTGTTGAATAGACAGCTTCAGCATCTCAATATAAATAAATAAAATATAGTTTTACACTGAAGAGTAGCTGTATTTATACAGGCCTCTGTGGGAAGTGACTGACAAGTAGTCAAAAGTGTTTGGTAAATATAGCTCAACCATGTGAGCTACAAATAAGATACAAATAAGGTTTAAGAGATAACATGTAATTGTTTATTTCTGAAAAAATCAAGTTGGTACAAAGGGGTTAGCTATTATAATTCTAAACACAAAAGTAATTGTAAAGTGGAATAAACCATCATCTTCAAAAATGGAGTTGATTCCCCTGTACTCTCAATTATGAATGTAAATGAATATCATCAAAATATGGCTGTACAGTTATTTTTATAATACACTTTACTGATTATAATACCATAAACAATGCTACCAATAACCTACAATTTGAGATATACTTTAATAATACACGTTCTTTAAGCGATGTCTGGTACATATCACCATAGAATTAAGTATACTGTGGTATGTGGCAACTTATGTGATGGAAATTGTTCAAGCAGATGCAAATTCCCCAGAATTTCTTATTTTTTTGTATAAAATACACAATGCCTATATGTGTATATGTATTATCTAATGAACTGTTCATAGTATGTAACAATCCTGAAATGCAACTAAGTGTGCATGTGCGTAGCAACATAATAAAAAAAACAACTCTTGAATCAAACACTAATGCTATCAATGTTCAACATAGAAAGGTTCAAACCAAAAGATCAGTTGATTTCATAAGAAACAATGGCATATATAAACTTAATAAAAAAACAACAACATGAGAACTCTTGATTTGATCTTCAGTTTCACAATCACACTGTATTTGTCCATTTCTGCACAATTTGAACGAAGGGTGCTCAATAAGAAGTGACAGAAGTAAAGGGAAAGCTTTTTTAACATTGTAACATTTAACTTTGACAATGTTAACAGCTTCTTGTTGATCATCCCTCACATTTGGATGTTTGCTGCAAGGAAACCACAATTCCTAACTTGGATGTTTATTGATAACACGTACCAATATTTTTTACTCATAAGTACCAGACCACAATCACAATACCCATCTGGATAAAGTTTACTTTGATGAAAAAATAACCAACACTGACCCTGTTCTAAACCATCCATATAAGATTCGTGGCTCAAATGTTTGTATAGTTATGCAAATATATTTCAATGAATCAGTTCCAAGTTATTTTATGTATTCTGTTTTCACATGTTATGTTCTTAATCTATCTCATCTGAGAGGCCAGTGGTATCATATGACTTGAACTGTATCTCATCATCAGATGAGTCATACTGTACCAGGCGAGGAGTCTTTGTTAAGGATGATTCACTAGGGGGTTCCATCAGGGGAGTTGTGGCACGCTGTACAGCACAAATGTCTACATCATCCAGCTCCCATACAGGTGTCCCAGTTTTCTCTTCATCTATGATGCTATTATCTTCAGGCAAGTTACATTTCTCATCAATGGAGACATATTTGGGTGTTAAGTCAGTGGAATTGTCTGCTGCCTCGGTTGCAAGCTCATCATCATTCTGTGGATCAGCAGGCATTTTATCTACAGATGTTAACTTCTCTTCAGTTGCAATATGTTGTTCCTCAGGAGAGGATTCCTCTCCAGATTCATCTTGATCTGCAACAGATGTGAGAGCTTCATCTGGAAGATTGGACATTCCTTCTGTCAGGTTTATTAGCTTCTCAGAAGATTCCTCTGATGAAATCTGTGTCCCTTGAGATTCATCAGCAGAGCTAGTAGAAAGTCCTTCACTTATGTCATTATTAGATGTGTTCAAATCCTTTTCTCCAGTGCTGGCAGGGGTAGTTTCTGAAGATTGAGTAGATTTATCATCCACAGAGAAAACAAGAATATTCTTTTTAAACACCAAAGATTTGTCATCTTTAATGGATTGAAGTTCTTCATCTGGATGGTTGCTGGATTGCTCCTCTGCTTTTTCAATCGTTGAGGGTGGTTTTTCCGCATAGGCAGTTGACTTTTCTACAATATTGGTTTCTCCATCCCCACTAGTAGCAGGGGGATTATTTTGAAAAGGGTCATAAAGCCTTGGGTCTGCTCCATCTCTGGGAACACCTTCATCATCAACTGCATCCATTTTATCATCATCGTCATCATTTATGAGAGAAATGCCGTTTCCAATGGGTATTGCAGTCATCAAAGGTTCATCTTCAAGATCAGCAACGTTCTTAGCTTCATCATCAATGTCTGGTTCCAAACCATCAAACTTCTCTAACTTTGGTAATATTTCCTCTTCATACTCAATTTCCTTACGGATTTCAATTTTTGGTGTTACAGCTTCCTCTTGCTCAGGTGATTTCTCAGCATTCAAGTCATGCTTATCTTCAATGTCAGCAGGTGTAGGAGTTACACAGTCATCTGGAACATCAGGTTCATGTATGTCTGGCAAGGAATCCTCAAAGTGATCATAGGACCTATCAAGCACCAGATCAGATATATCACTTTCACTAGTATTCATTTGGGATTCTATGTTATTTCCTTGATCTTGAGTTTCTTCATCCTGATCAGTAGCTGAATCAAAGCGAAGATCAGATATAGTTGAATCTAAATGTAGGTCAGAATCACTTTCACTCTGCACTTGATCTTTTTGAACATCACAAGTTTTAGATTCCCCTCCTTCTTCATCATCATCTGGTATATCTGCTGATGTGACATCTGCCGTGTTATTAAAGCTGTCAAAGAATTCCTCATCTTGACTTATAGATGTCTCAAGCACCTCAGATTTATCATTTTGTTGATTGATGTCTTTGGAACATATCAAATTATCTTCTTCTGTTGTATCCTTTATTACCACATCTGTGATGTTTTCATTATCAACTGGTCTCGTATCAGGCTTCAGATAGGTGGGCAAATCAACATCTTGTTCAATACTCATATTTTCAGTATCAGTTTCTTTAGCTAATTCAGTACATTCCTCCTCTACCTCTGTGACAGGATCCTTCATGATTTTAGCAATCTCATTTTCATTATCAGTGAAATGTTTATCCTTTTCAACAGAAGTGACAGTCTCGACATCATCTACTTCAGCATATTCCGACTCTGTGACTGGAACAACCTCTTTTCCACCGACTGGTGCAGCCTCTTTTTCAACTACACTTTCTGTGCTCCTTTCATCAGTTTGTACAACAGTGTCAATCAACTTTTCATCTTCAGCATTGATTTTTTCACAGACCTTATCATCAATCTCAGCTTCATTGTTTTCATCCTTTTTGACTATGTCTTCTTCAGTAGATTTTGACTTGTTGGATATTGGAACAATCACTTTTTCACCAGTTTGAACTGTACTTTCTACACCATTTTCAATAGTTTGTTTTTCAGTGTCCATCACAGTTTCCGATTCAGTATTGTTAATTTCCCCAACATAATTGATGATTTTTCCTTCATTTTTAAGTGAAGTGTTGACCTCAACATCACCTACTGACTCAGAATCTTTTTCATCACTCTGAAATCCATTTTCAAAACATTTGTTATCATTTTGAACTTCAGTGTTGGTTACTTTTTCACCATTTTCAACTATGTTGATAATTACATTACTTTGATTTTCAGTAACAATATTCTGTGTATGTACACTATTTACAATATTTTCACCACTTTTATGTTTTTCATTAGCATTCCCTGACTCTCTTTCATCAGCAGTAAGACGTTCTAAGATATCACCTATTACCTTTTCCTTCTCATCATTACAACTATCACTATCTGACTTGTCAAAGATGGTATCAGAAACATCAACCTTATCAACATACATTTCTGCGGTAAGCTGTACATTATATTCTATTGTATCATTAGCACCAATAATTGAATCATCACCATTTGAATCTATCTCATCAAGAGATGATACATCTTTTTTGTCATCCAAACTGTCAACACAATTTTGTTCACCTTCATTAGGTACAATTTTATCAGTTTGTAAATCAAGTAGATTATCTGTAGTATTTGCACGAGGTCCATCATCTTGTACATCACGAAGACTGGCTTCTTCAAATGTTTCAATTTCTTCACCAGCAATATCAGTTGGGTTCTCCAATTTCTCAAGTTTAGACGCATCAAAATCACCTGATATGAATTCATGTTCAGAGCTACAGTTGGCAAGTTCCCGGTCAAGAATATCATCAATAGTATCGCCCATTATCAGGGTATCATCTTCATATACTGTCGCATCTTGGTTTGTACCATACACATCTGCTGTTAAATCCATCTTAGCTGCAGAATGATCGAGAGGAATCACTGCAAGTACAGGGACCACATATCAAAGACATGTATACAGTGATTAAGATGCATTCATTAAACTTAAAGGCAAAATCAGATCTATAGGGGGTGACAAAATTGCAAGCAAAATGTACAATTGATCTAAAGTAAAGTATGCACTTAGGGAATTTTTAGAAAATAGACATGACAAAGACTGATACGAGCCAAAAATATTCTAAACTTGAAACATGTTTTTGTTTAGCTTGCTCGCTAGGTCTGATTCTCTCTTTAAGTTAGGCTGAGTAGATTATATTGACAAATTTACTTTTACGTATAGGCTGCCATACTGATTTATGTACCAACAGGAAAAAATCTGTATTTCACTAATTGGACAAACAATCTATTTTGTGAAATGTATGAGGTAATAGGCTGTTTTGTTAAAAAGCAAGATTTAAAATAACTCTGTTCATCTGCAAATATCTGCTCAATTTTTAAGGTTCTCATGATACAATTCAGAATTATCAATAAGGCCTACAGAATCAATTCAAAACTAACATTTCAATCACATTAAATACATAAAATAGTACAAACAACAATATAAAACATCTAGTAAATGCAGAGGTGAGGGCATTTGTATGTTTAACCACTGAGTGTATATCAGGCTTAATATCTAGAAGCAGGGGCAAGTCAATAACCAAGAAACCCAGCATGGAAGATGTACACTTTAGAACAGTATTGAAACCAATAACCCTGCATGGAGGACAACAGGACATGTTCCATACACCAGTAGAGGACAGGGGAGGTAACAATTAATGCAATCAAGACTGGGTTCTCCAAAATGGACCGTCTCCAAAATGGCCAATATGATTACAATTTGTATCTCCCAAAAAGGAAGGTAATAGAAGCAAGGTTAGATTGGAAGAAATGTATGAGGTGATGGGAAAACATGAACTATTGATGTTGATATTCCAAAGACTCTTATCTGTGAAAGTGTGTATTCAGTCTATGTACAGCCCCAAGAAATACATTAACTTGAGAAAACTCAACTCATTGACTATTTTTACTTTCTTGGGAATGTACATCAAACTGTATGTACAAAGGATGATATCATAGGTGATCGTTGATGAAGCAAGATTATTTGATAAAGCTCAACACCAGCTAGCTATTAATTTCACCAACCCACTGCATACACTACATAAACATTATTATATGGGTGAGAATAAAGCACATCTAATAAAGCACAACATCTGCAATTGCAATTACCAACCATTATCTTATTACTGGTCATCAGCTGAAACAAATACAAACACATTCATATACACTTGCATAAAATAAGCAAATGCGGCATAGTCATTACATATCACAATAATGTTTGCACATGCTGCAGCCAGATTACAATGGCTATAGCTAGACCACAATTGCATTTGCTTTTAATTGCGTATCGACATGAATAGCAAAATTACTTATTATGAAACATAAGTTCGAAACATGGCTCATCTAAGAAATTAAATGACCAAATGTCATCCATTAAAACATGCAATATATGACTGGAAGCCCATGAAAGACATGATTCTAATTTGTAGCATAATCAGAAAGCGCCATTTCAGCATACAAAATATGACCTTATTAACTTTATAAGAGACCCGCTATAACTTACATTTCCAATCTGCTGGTTTTTCCTCAGAGGTATCACGTTTGGAATCTTTAGCATCAACTGCATCTTCTACATCCTTCCTTGGGGCATCAGCATGATCAGAACTGGACACCTCTACCACTCCTGTGATACAAGACATTTAAGAATGTTATTAAGTGTAGAAAATTAAAAAAATATCTCAATATACCACTTTAAATTCTAAGTGCTCGGATATTAGAGGGATATTGGTTGACCCTGTAATAAAACACTTTTATTTTTTGTCCAACAGATAAATGAAACATTTAGCATTATGTGATTTCTCAATACAAAAGATATACCCTTTCATAAAGTGTACATGGCAACCCAGTGTCAACACCTACCAGTTACTGAAACCAATCCTTTTTTGGAGAGTGCCTCCGCAACACCAAGCCCTGTATCCTGGCTGGTTAAAAGGACCTTGTGAACGCCATCTTCTAGACCAACTGATTGAAGTAACATGGTTCTGTCCTTGAGGGCCTCTAGCTCCCTAGTTGCTTCATCAGACCAGTCCTCTGGAATATATATCAACATTTTTCATCGTATTACAAGCAAAATTGTTACCTAGTCATACAAACCACAGGCAAATATCTAATGGAAGTGTAACTAAGAATAATCATCATGAATCAATAATTGCAAAAATCCTTCAAGGTGGAAGAAGTGACATTTTTTCCACACATGCCACTGTAACTTTACTGCTTGATAGATGAACCAAAATTTCACTGAATTTTAACATGTCCCAGCATAGGTCAGGGTAATCAGGGTTAATTAGTTCAAATTTGATCAATATCTGATCTGCAATCATTAAGACAAATTACATACGTTGCACAGGTTGAATGTTGGCCAGAGCACATTGGAGGGCGAATGGTTGTTCTTCTACCAGGTCTTCTGAAATCACTCTCAACTGTTCACTGCTACAACTCTCTGTGTAACCATAGTCAACATACTCCAGTGTGGCCAGAGAGTCAAACACAGACAGCACCTAAAATAACCATATCATAGCATGATTCTAGGGTAATATAGGATATGGAAACAACAGCAACACCAAAACATTTTCCATAGAAGAATATGACCTGAAGCTATTTCTTTCTGCTGATTTATCCTCAGATGAACCATCCTTAGTATCTCACAACATGGAAAAATTATACAGGACAACTAAATCTCTGGAACTTAAACTTGGGAAACAAATCCCTTGGTAATGTCCTACCTTAGTTCTGTACCATTGTTCAGTGTCCAAGTAGCGTGCACAACAAGCATCACCCTCTGTGACCCTGCTGCCATCTATAGTAGGGGCAGATGGGCAGTAGGCTGTAATATATATGCAAGGTAAACAATGTGATTCAATGTGAAATTATAAGGGCATAACTTCTTTTAAAAGTTTCATTCATAGGTACAAAAATATGCTTTTGCGAAGAAAATAAGTTCATATAAAAGCAAGCTAGGGTTCTCAAGCTAGGGTACAGAGGGGCAAGAATTGTACAGAAAGCTTTAAACGAATATTACACCTGTTTACAATTAGAACTTTTTTTACTGATCACTTGTTAAAACAGCAATACACAAAATAAACATTCTAACAACTCACCTTGCAACTGATCAGTTAACTGCTGAAACTTGTTAGTACTATCAGTGTCTGCAACCTGACACCATAGCTGACTGGGGTCTACCACATGACATATTTTCACTATGTAATCCTCACCCTGGTCTATCTGACGCGTTTGCCCAAATGTCAGAGTCTTTTGGATCACCTGCAGAGTGAAACAAAGAAATAAAAATTCATTTATTTATTAATTATCTTTTAACATTTTAGATTAATGGCCTTATTTACGGAGACGGCTTACCGATAGGTGTAGCGGTCGTTCCGGGTTGTCACGTGACTTGGCCTCGTTTTCATTTACATGTAAACAAATACAAAAAATTCATTTCTCGCAAATACTCGGCATAAATCACCATATTACAACAATTTCATTGAACGCCATAGTAAAATGTCTGGAAAATACGATTCGTGGAAGTTAACTGATTTGAAAGAGGAGTTGAGGCGGCGCAAAGCGAGGTGTACGGGCAAGAAAAAGGATCTGATCGATCGGTGTGTATTTTTGTAATTTTGGACTTCAGATTTGTCAACACGGAAATAAAATTCATACGTTTACATTTAGTGTTTATAACTCAAAATACGCAATTATTCTAAACGTCAATTTAATTTATATCTAATATAATATCTTATCTCAAGTTAAAACTCATTTAGTCTCAAAATTATTCACGCAGTATATGTAAATTACTCCCGAGAAAACAACACTATTTTTACAGCCATTATTTTTGGTTTATTTTTTTCAGCCTGGTTCACTACGACCGCAACCAAAACTTTGGCAATGAACAGACCCAAAGAAAGGATTGGAATATGACATTGCCCGATTCTAAGGTATTCAAAGATGTCAACACTGACAGTTCAATACCATGTATGACCAAGGAAAATGTTGACAATTATTTGCAGCAATTTGAAAAATCGTCCTATTTGACAGCTCAGAAACTGTATGATGACAGATACTTACAGTACATTCGCAGCGTAATATGGAAAGGACTGACTTATGTCAAAGCTGGAGTGAATGCTAGTATGAGAAAGCAGCTCACCTATCATGTTGACATGTCTATCGATAACCATGGTATTGTTCAGGAAGCCCAGTGTGAATGCGCAGTTGGCATGGGACCAGATTGCCATTGTAAGCATGTATCTGTAGTTTTGTGTGCAATCACAGACTTTTCTTCAAGCAAAATGATGAAAGTCCAACTTACCTGCACTGAAAAGCTTCAGTCATTCCATCAAGCACCAAAACACCATGGTTCGCCAGTCAAAGCAGAGAATTTGAAAATGACTGAAGATGATTCAAAGAACTTTACATATGATCCCCGCCCAGAAAATCTACGCAATCACCCAGGTTACCCAGATTATTTCCGAAACCTCTGTATTAATTTTGCCAAACGCTCCAACATGCCTATTAATCAGCTACACGCTCCAGCTGATACAAAAGCTGTATTTAAGGACCATGACTATTTAGAAAAATCCCATGAATCAACATTTCTTGAGAAGGAAAATATAACATCAATTTCAAAGGAAGAAATATTGAAAATTGAACTTTCAACACGTGGGCAGAATACATGTCAAACATGGAAAAATGAACGATGTAAGAGAATAACAGCATCTAATTTTAAACGTGTGTGTACTGCGGGTGAAAGAACTGATAAAGACAAACTTGCAAGAAGTTTAGTAGTGCACAAGACATTCAAATCAAAATATACAAATCATGGCATTAAATATGAAAAAACAGCAAAAGATAAATTTTCTTCAACAACAGGCCTCTGCACCAGAGAATGTGGTATTTTTGTTTCTGAAGAAACACCATACATGAGTGCCACACCAGATGGACTCATTGAAGGTAATGATGATGAGTTATTAGAGATAAAATGCCCTTTCACTGCAAGGAATAAACTCATAAATGAGAAAACAGTTCCCTATTTGAAACTGGACTCTAAGGGGGACCTTCACTTGGACACAAAACATGATTATTATTATCAAGTGCAAGGGCAGTTATATTATGCAGATAAACAAAGATGCCATTTTGTCATTTTCACAAGAAAAGACTTATTTGTTGAAATGATTCCCAGGAATGATCAGTTTATCAGTGAAATGGTCATTAAGATTTCTTCTTTTTTCAATGACCATTTTTGTAGCAGTGTCATTGAGAGATTACTTTACAGAGATTTCGACAGGTTTTCGTTTGTATGAGCATTCTTTATATGTAACCAAGATTAATGGTGTATAGCTTTTTGGAAACTGTAGCAATAAACCAGTCAGGGCTGTATGTTGATTGTTGTTGAATAAATGTACTGATAAAATATAATATAAAATGCTAATATATCAAATATATGTATCATGTTTGTTATTATAAATAACAAAACAAATAAACAATCAAATAGTCTGCAAAACCCTCCTAATCTCTTGCCAGGTACTAATAACAAGATTAACAACACGGAGACATTCCAGGCACTATGAGATGTCAGTGGAATTATACTCCAGACTAATGAGATTAAAAACAATAATTGCCTTGTTCTAGTTGGATAAGAAAGATTATCCAGTGTCAAATGCATGGATCCTTAGATCTAGATCCGTAGCCTAAATGATTGCAATCATCCGCCTGTCCGCCGGAAGCTATAGAATGATGTCTCAAGAAAAACTAAACATTGCACCATCATTGTTTTCCAATCAGTCTTACAATGTTTATCGAGCCGAGTCTACTTCTGAAATCTTGTAGAATTTGTGGCAGATTTCTTCCTTCTTTGTCATTTCTAAGCCTGTTTAAATACGGTAAATTTCCAAGTCAACAATTACAAATCTACAATTAATATGTCCCTTAATAACGTTTCAAAGTATGAAACTGAAAGAAACTGATTGGAAATATTAGTCTAATGAAATGTTATAAAAACTACGCTAAAACTGTATCATCACGCATTTAAGTCATATTTGTTTACAATTGCTGCCCTAGTAACTAAAATACGTCATATCAAAAAAGAGATTTCATTGGTCGATATTTATATTAGCAAATGCCTATTGGGTACATTGAGTGTCACGTGATAGTTGTTTATAAACAATCCCACGTGGCGGAAAACATCAACAGATTGAAAAAAAAAATAAATAAACCACTACTTCACCGGTAAATTGATGCAAATTATTATCAAACCCATTCGTTAAATTAATTTTAGTTTTAAGGTTTTTGTAAATTTAATTTCCATCAGGCAATCAAAGGCTAATATCTAGGAAAGGTACTATTTTTGTTTTTTAAAGGTCTGGTACGTCATTTACTAAATAGACAGATTAAAACTTGCTCCAGTCTTACATGACAAGTTATGTATTAGACTAAGAGTTGGGACGTGCCAGGCTTGTTGATTGCAAAAAATACTAGGCTATTTGATTACTTTTTTGTTTTTTCAGCTGTTGTCTAGAATAAAAAAGGGCCTGGGACAATTTTTTAATTCCTGGGGATTATACATGTTAAACAAACATACCTAATACTTTATTTTCTTTAATAATGATTAATGTCTGGCACATGTCTGGCATGTTGATTGCAGAAATATTACTTGAAATAGATGACACACTATTCAATCAAATTCACAAATACTGTAGATTGATTTTTGTAAAATACATATTTTTTATTTATACATTTATTGCACTGTTAATATTATATTTTTGACAAATGTGTCATTTGCCTAAACATCACTTTTGATTGCATTGAATATTTACAAGTTCAGACCAAATAAAATGACTGATATGTCTACATTATATGTTATTATTTGCTCTTTACATATACATATACATCTTGTGTCAACATTTTTTTAGAAAAATCCTTAGGCCAATAAGTCACATTGTAGGTGACATGATGCATGTTCGAAAATTGCAAATCATGATAATGTCAAACATTATAGATGTTGCCAAATTAACATCAGTAGAGTCCATCGGCTCTGTAAGTATATTGTATGTCTTACACAGACCGATTAATCGTTCGATATGAACACGCTTGCTGGCAACTTTTCTATCCTTTAGAACAGTGTCTCCATCCATCCGGTTTTTCTTAGAAAAGAATTCTGGTATATTTATCTTGACATCGTACGGCGCAAATATGTCCTGGACATTGAAGCCCTTGTCCGCCATAATACTATCTCCAGGATCATAGCCACTCAAGTCAGATCGCTCGATGATCTGCCTATCGCTGGCACAACCACCATATGCGGGTGAACAATAAGAAAACTGACCCCCTGGAGTAGCACCTATCAGTGTTTTCACAGTATTGCGGTTTTTGTAGGTGGAAAATGTTAATCTCTGGGCTGCAGGGGCTTTTGGCTTTTTGATGGGGCATTCCGTGCCATCGATAATAATGCGTGTTGTCGGAAATTTCTGTGCGAAATCTGCTGGCGTGAAAAATTTTACAAGGTCTCTGGATGCCCATATGTCAATTTCCTCCCACTGGCATTTCATAAAATTTATCCATGAAATAAATATGTTACTCACTGTCTTGCAAGCTATTTTATATGTTCGTGAAAGTTCAAAATGAGGAGTATTCCTTCGAAGAAGCAGCATAACCAGGAAGAATTGATCTTCGATTGATATTGTTTTTGTTTTCACTTGAGAGTAACGGTAGTTGATATGGTTCACATTTGGACCAAGTGATGAAAGAACAAAATTAAACTTCTCATAAGATTCTAAACCTGTATAATAATGCATCCCCTCATCATCCTCAATAAAATCTTCAGCTGTCATTAATGGCCGCTGTTTCTCAGGCCACACAGGGGTTTGTGTCCCTATAGTTGCAGATACCTTTCTGCAATATTGGCATGGGAGTGGTACAACTGTTGATTTCTCAACTTCAGTCACCGTCACTCTCTCCTCATACAAATCCAAGTCATTGTCAATATGGGATTTTATTGAAGAACTGTCCACCTCTGTAGTTTTGCCTTCTAGGTTCTTCATGGAATATCTCTTGGCCCTGGAGACAGATGACTGTGACTTCTTTGTCCATTCAAATACTGACGGGACGGCAGTGGGTTTCAGTTTCTGATATCTCAGTGGCTTGCCTGAAAATGAAAAAAATTATGTTTGAAATAATCAGTCGGAATCTGTATTGCAAAGAGAAACATGTGGGTCAAAACTCGCCATGTATGAACAAAACTACATGTGTACTTTGTAAAGTAACCAACGATCTTTAAATACTTTGCACAGGTATATGTTTAATGTTAACAATAATGACACCAGCAGTTGATTTTTTCGTAATATTCAGTGGGCGATAATAGGTGACTCACAAAAATCGTACTCTTATTTCTGTTTATTCGTTCAGGCCAGTAGAATACGATAACTAGCTACGCTTAAATACATTTATATCTTTGTCTTATTTGTTTTAATAATGCATAGATATTTACCATTAATGCCGTGGGTTATATAATCCTCTGGAAGAAAATGTTTCTTGCAGACGACAGCATTTGCAAAATTTGGGGTCCACTTATCACGCTTAATAGCGGCCATCCAAAGCTTCCTACTCTCACTATCGCTCTTGAAATAATGTCCTCCCTTATTGTTACACAACGGTACGCAGCAAGTTGTTCCTGGCATGATTATAACTCGAGTAAATGAATGATTTGCCAGAGCTACAGAATTTTCCTGTGTATTTTAATATGTGACCTTGAGAATTGACAACCCGGATCCGACCTGACCTCTATCGGTAAAAATCCAGTCGCGAAGGCCATTAGTTAAGTATTTTTCCTTATGCTTTATATATTAACTTCTAAGGTCAAGGTCATAGGATAGACAATGGCTAGACAACAATGATATCTATAGCAACCATGTAAATATTAACACACCTCAGTATTAGATATAGCTGGTTCAGCCTGCACATTGGGTTCCTCCTCCGTGAACTTGTCCTCCTCATATAGCTCACCCTCCTCGCTGGGGGCACTCTCAGTGTCACTAGAAGTCTCCAGGGGACAACCAAGTTTCTTCTCAATCAAAACATCACGCAAGTTCATTCCTCCACTGAAAACAATTTCAACCTACATGTATGTATCAGCCCAAAAAATAAATACTGCAACATATGTAATTGTTTCGCTTAATTATTTGTAGGAACCCCAGTCCTAAAAACTATTTTCAGGGTCAATAGCTGTTGATCAGATAAACTGATCATAAAACCTTTAATATTAGGAGATCGGGTTGTTTCTGTCTAAATCTGAACTTTTTAGGAACTGAACTCTGAACTCGTGACAAATGAGCTACCTGGTTGTTATATGAGCAATGATTTTGTTGTCATCTTCCACCTCAACAACCTTTGCCTCTAGTGTTATGTTGGTATCTTCACTCTGACAAACAGCTTCTAACACACTGATCACCTCTGAAACAGCAATATATGTGCGCCTTTATAGTAGGTGACTAATATATGCTTAATGCTTAATGTTCTTGCGATAATAATTTGGAAGTTAGTGACCAGTGTCTCATAAGCCGACATCGGCTGGTGGTATTTTAACTATGTTCTTATATATGTATTAATTGTATCATACCAGTGACACTTAAATAAAATATTTTAAACTAAACTAATGTTATCATCAGCTAAATATGTACATGTACTATAATTTATCTCGACGCCATAAATGACCCAAAGGACACAGAAAATTTCATCTGACTTTAATAGTTTTAAATCATATTGAATCATTTAATTTTTAATTAAATTTGAAAAACTATCAAACTGGCAATGATTAAATGTCACTTTTGTTACAATGGTGGAGAACAATACTACATTAAATTCTTAAAATCGCCATGTATGGTAGCATACCTTCATCCCATGCCTCTGAGACAGGTTTAACCTCAGCCAGACTCAGCTCTAAGGCTTGTGTAGGAAGACTCATGAACTCTGCCTCCATGCGATGCAACCTAGACATTGGGACAGTCTCTCGGTTCCCATAGTCCACATAAATGAGATCTACTTCATCGCATTTTGTGTCATCTTTATCAACAGCAAGGATTTGGGCTCTATACCATCGTCCATCTTCACTGTACTGAGCACACACTGGCAGGCCTAGCTCCAGGGACTTCACACTGTGTGCCATGGTTTCTGGAAATAATCATGAAATGTCAAAGTTCTGTTTCAGCAATCAAAGGTGGTTAGAAGTCATGTTAAATTCAAACAAAAAGACAAGTTTTTTCAGAGGTTAAAATATTGTTAACAGATTAATGAAAGAATCTGGCCCCCTTCAACAGCCCTAACCTTATTCTAATATTTTGAATGAATAAAATTAGCAAATAGCTCTTACCCTGTGAAAGTTTGGTGTTGATATCTTCCATGAGGGCCTCTAGCTGGTGCTGGGAAGAGGCCAGTTGGCAAGTTATATTGTCAGGGTCAGTGAGGGTCACATAAAGCAGGTTGAGAGTGTCTCCTTGGTTTACTTCTGGTGTAGAATAGAAAAATGGCACAACACCTGAAACAGAAAACCTAAAATCAGCTTGCAAGTTGACAATATGCCGATGCCAATCTAATGAATAAAATTCTTAAAATAAAATCAAAATACTCTTTGATGCCAACTAACAACACAGTAAATTCTTTAAAATGTCAGAAAATCCAACAGCTCCTGTCTGGAGAAAAACACTAGAATATAGTATTTGCTATGCATGGTTTTACCTTGAAAGCTGTCATCTTGTAGATCATCAGTACTGAAACTGCCATAAGAGCTACTTTTCTTCAGACATACCTCCTGGAAACTTGCCTCTGCAATAATAATTGATATGTTATTTAATTCAGATCATTCTTAGATTTAGATAAACAAAATAAATCCAGTTTAAAGGTATCTGTATTTACTGATTCAAAGACAACTTTGTTATATACCAACTCATCACATTTAAGAGCTTATAATCAATGTTGCACCATACATGGAAAACCCTTTATTATGACACATACCCAGCACTGATGTGTCAGCATCATCATCCTTCAACTCATCAACGTCTCTGATGTCCAACTTTGAGCCTGGAATCACTTCACAGAGGCATTTGGAGACTATATAGTGGTTAACACTCTCCAATTCCATACTGTCACCCTCAGCAGTTGAGTAGAGGTACACTGTGTAAGAACCAGTTTCTGTCTTGTTCTCAAATTCTCCTATAAGCTTCTTCACACCAAACTCAACTAAAATATAGGAAATCAAATTATAGGAAAGGCATCTTTTGAATTGGTGTGAAATCAAACGTACAAGTACTGACTGTTCAAAGGTAATTAAGTGGGAATTTTCATTATACTCCACGTAATTTAAATACTTTGCAGTTTCAAGTACAAAGTAACATACACATGATCATCAATCTTTCACTACCTACTGATATGTCCAAACTTTACAGATCAACGAAACGATATGCTTTATACATTAAATGAGGTATGTGCTAACAATCCCGATATAAACCTTAACTCTCAAAATGTTATCAAAGACAAAATTCTCTTTGGGAACAAATTTTTAACAGTTGATGATAACAAACGTTTGATTTTGGCACTACACAAGTTCATAAAAAGTACAAAGAGATTTTAATTTTTTGTGGAACTTGAGATGTCCTCTCTACCCAAGTACATTGTATCATGCTTTTTTTCTTTATTGTAACTGCATGTATTTAAATTCTGTATTTATATTTGTATCATGTAATTGAGAAGCATTTAAATTAGCAACTATGCTATTTTGCTAATCTGAATAAATATAGTATTATATAAGTAAAAATAAGAAAAACTAATAAAATATGTTTATGTGCCCTATATACTGCACTGACCTGTAAGCAGTTTGGTTGCAGTTTCTGTCCATGATGTCATATTTATACCAGCAAGAGAACAACTGATACACTGTATGGGGAGCTCCAGGAATGAGAATGGCATAGGACGCAGAGCAGACTTTGCCAGTTCTTCAACTTTGCCGTAATCTACTAGTTTCACCTGGAATTAGAAATTCTTAATACAGTCACAAGGATATGTATGCACTGAACGACTATTATAGACCAATTCACCTCTAAAAAGAGATATCACTATCCAGTTTCTGAGCAGTTCTTTATTGTTTAATCTTTATTTTCTATTACAGAACAATTTGACAACAGAATACTATATCTAGCATTAAGAAATTTTTGCACATAATTTTTTTTTCATTATGCTTTCAAGGTAAATGCATTACCTGATACAGGTCATCTGTAGTTGCAATAATAACAGCTCTGTACCATCCGTCATCTTCCGCAGAACGTGCCAATGTTGGCATTCCAATGACAATGGATGAAATCTCGTCTTTGTTATCTTCACAATGGTCAGCTATCTCATCCATGAGTCTATTTAGGTCAAGGTCAGAGTCGGCTAATCTGCACTGTAAGATTCCTTCCATACTACAGTCTTCAAATATCAGATTTGTTCGTTTTCCAATATCAATTTGGGGGTTTTCATAGTTCTCTGCTAGTTTTCTCAATGGATCTGATGATTTTTCTTCTGATTTCATTCCAGATATTACTTCTTTGGCTCCAGTTATAATGTCAGTTACAATTCTATCAACGACTACTGTTGATAATGCTTCAGCTAATGGACTTTTTGGTGGAGGGATATCTAAACTGTCACTTAAGGATGGCAGGTTATTGGCGGGAATAGATAGTTCTTTGGGGCTTTCCTCCACTGATGGTGTGATCATTTTAGCATAACCTCCTTCCGCTAGACTAGCACTCACACTTTTGTCCTCTTCATTTATACATAGCACCACATGAAGTTCACCATTGACATCTTTTACATCAATAATATCAGCTTTTAAGTCATCTTTATTGTATGTTAGTTCTTCAAATCTTGTACATGTTTCCTCATCCCATTCCTGTCCCAATGGTTCCACATCAGCTAACTGGGCCTTGAAAGCCTGCTGAGGTAACACAGAGAACTCCTGGACCAGTTCTTTAACTTTATCTTGTTGGACCTTTTCTTTATTTCCATAGTCTATGAAGAGTAAATCTATGGAATCTGGTGCAGATAACTGGACTTTGGCGCGGTACCAAGACTCATCTTTACTAAACTGTGCCACACAATAGTCTCCAGGTGTTGGGTCAACTAAACAATCCTGAAAACAAGGCAAGTATGAATTTATGAAACAGAAAATCAAATACAATACATATACAAGGTAGCACTGCCATTCAAAATGTCACCAACTGCCATATGTTACAGAAACTGACACCTGAACGTCAACCACCATCCAGAAAAAAGCTGGAGACTTTAACAATGTCACCACTTTAGGGTGTTACATAAAAATAAATCAAAGAAAAAGTCCATTGTCAACAAATGAATTATATACTAAATGCAAGGCAAGGTAATCTATATATGTACTGACAAGCATACCTGTTGAGATTCCAGCTTAGAGTAATGTTCATGCATGAGATCAAGCAGAGGAGGTAGTTCAGCACTAGAAGTTTCTATCTGACAGTAGAAGTCACTGGGGTTTGTTACACTGCACACGTACACTGGAATACACTTGCTACCTACAGTAAGTGCAGGCTTCTCCACAACTATCCTACAATCAAATAGAAATATTCAAGGTCAATAAGAAAGTAACAAATATTGATGTTTCAAGCAAGGAAAACTGAATTTTCAACACCACAATTGTAGCTTTAAGTTGGAACAAGGCATTAACATGAAAAATCTCACCACCTTCCATTTGTTACAGACACCAAAGAAGGTGCCAAATGCCAAACACCAACCACCGTATACAAAAATGTTGGGACACCCACTTGTGGTGGTGACATGATCAAACTATGAATACCAACTGTGTAAAATGTTCATATCAGAGTAAAGTAAGATATTACAGAAGGGACAATACTGACTAAGTCAAGAAATGAACTTACTTTTCCTTTTGTTCCTCCTCAAAGTCTGGGGATTGATCTTTCTTCACATATGTAGGAGTCGCATCATCAATTGCAACTTCTGCCTCAATCATCTTACTGGCAATATCCATCCCCATGTCTAACAGTGTCACAATACAGCTGTTATCATCGGCTACACTCTTGACCTCACAGAGTAATGACTTGTCAGCTGTGATGTCGATGAACTTCTCAATTGCTGTATCATCCCATGCTGTAGACTCTCCTGTGGATCTGATCTTAGATAATGTACATTCAATTCCTTGGATTGGAAGGACGAGGAAATTTTCTGAAATAGCTTTAATGCTATTTGGTTTAACTACTTCACTGTTGCCATAGTCCACAAACTGGACCTCAATATTGTTCTCAACTGAAACAGCAATAGCTCTGTACCACTGGTCATCTTCAACAGATTTAGCAACACATGGGCTGTTCTTTACAACAGCTGCCAGAACCATCCCACCCTCAGTGTAAAAGTCTTGAAGCTCTGTTGTTAATTCTGTTATAGCATTTTCGTGGGCTTTCATTTGAATCCAAAATCGACTTGGGTTAATAGTGTGAGTTACATAAACTTCCTGTTTCACTCCACATTTAATTTCTAATATATTGTAGTCCGCTGGGGGTTGAAGTTGCGATTCCTCACTGATGTTTGCAACTAGATCAGCGAAAGATTCATCAGTTCTCGATAGATCTGGGCTGATGCTATTTTTCTCATCCTCATGTTTACTAGGGATACTATCTCCAATGACCTTTTCTTGGGCTTTTAACAATGGCAAACTGGGGGAGGTGCTGCTTACAGCCAGTCCTGTTTCTATCAGTTTATTAGCAACAGACTCATCATCCAGCTTCAGTGTTACAACATAACTAGAGTTAGTAGGATCAGCCTCTGTATCCCCAACCAAGTTAACACACATGCTAACAATCTTTTCCAGGACTATCTCAGAGAACCTGTCAACAAGTTTTTCATTCCATGACTCCTCAGCAGCCTTGACACCAAACAGAGCACATTCTAATCCCTGGACCTCAAGCTGTAAGAACTCATCAGGAATGGCTTTAATACTCGACTCAGGGATTGTATCAGAGTTGCCATAATCTACAAATGTGACAACTACTCCCGCGTCTTTAACATCAGTGATCTGTGCCCTGTACCAGGTTTCATCTTCTGAGAACTTAGCCAAACAAGGCTGTCCAGGAACATAGACAAGAAGGTCTGTAGGCTCACCATTACAATGTTCACTAATCTGTGCCATTAGATCAGCAATCGCCTCCTCACCAGATACCAGTTGGCACCAGAATAAACTTGGTGAGACTATATGAGCAACATAAACATCATTCTCCTCTTTCATTCTCAGTTTGTAGGTCTTGAACTCCTGAAAGTCTGAATCATCAGATGTTGTTTCTTTGGATACTGGAGCTTTGGGAGGAGACATCTCAATAGACTCCTGGGCATCTTGGAAATCCTCAGTACCACTGGAGCTGGAGTCTGGGATACATATCTGAGCCCTGATATCTCCTACATCATTCTTTAGATGAACTTCACAAGGGTCAGTGGCTGGCAGGAAAGTCACTTCCAGCTCCTGGTCCATTGTCAATTCTTTAAACTTAACAGAGTCCTCTTCAGTCCAATGCTCCTTACCAGCTAGTTTACACACATATGACATGGGTGGTGAGGCAAGAAATTGCTCCTTTAAGGCATGTACTTTACTCTTTGGGACAGTTTCTCCATTTCCATAGTCCACAAACAACAGTTTGACCTGATCACCATCAATGGCTTGGATCTTCCCTCTGTACCAAGCATCATCTTCGGAATACTTAGCTATACATGGCTGATTGACATTGTATGTTGTTAGAACATCACCTGCTCCTGTTTGAACTTCATCAGCAAGATTAGCAAGTTCATCCTCAACATTGGCTAATTGAACATAGAACTCATTAGCTGATTCTACGTGGCTTATGTACACCTGCGATGTCACAGTAGGAATATCATGATCAGCATACTTGGACAAATTCTGAGTCGCAGGAGGTGTATCTTCTTCCTGAACAGTTTCTTCTTGAACAACTGATTTTTCAGATTCAGTCAGAGCATCTTTAAACACATCTTCATCTACAGGTGTTTCATTGGTAAATTGTGCACTTATTTCTTCATTATTTTCAAAGAGCTTCACCTGATAGGGTTCAGCACTACACAAGAACTCACAAAGTAGTTCTTTCTCCATGACTTGATCAAGGAATTTCTCACCATCAGTGTGTTTGGCTCCCACAATTGTGCATTTTACACAGAGAGGCTTTGTTGTGGTCAGTTCAGGTGTTAAAGCTTTCAAGTTGTCTATAGTAGTTGTTTCACCATTTCCATAGTCAATGAAGTTCACTTTGATGTCTGCTCCCGATACACCTGTGACTGCAGCTCTGTACCATGTCTCATCTTCACTGTATTTAGCACAGCAGGCTTGTCCCACAACAGGTGTAGTCAATGCTCTCTCATTAAGCCCAAGGGCTCTGTATTGTTCCTCAAGTTTACCCATTACTTCATCAAGTGCATTTGTATCCTTAGAGAGCTGAATGACAAAATCTTCGGGTCCAAGTCCAAAACTAACATAGCACAATTCTTTGACACCTTTTTGGATATCAATGGTAGGATACCTCAAAATCTCAACAGTCTCTGCCTGACCTTCAGAGGCAAATTGGGCAGTAATATCCTCATCATTTTCTAATAGTTTCACCTGATAGGGTTCACTGTCAGACAGAAATTCACAAGTCAATTCTTTCTCCATGGCAAGATCGAGAAATTTTTCACTATCTGTACGCTTGGCTCCCACAACTTGACACTTGATACTGAGTGGTTTAGTGTCTGCCAGTTCCGGAGTGATACATTTTAGGTTTTCTATAGTTGTCCCTTCACCATTTCCATAATCGACAAAGTTCACTTTGATGTCTGCTCCTGATACACTTGTGACTGCAGCTCTGTACCATGTCTCATCTTCACTGTATTTAGCACAGCATGCTTGTCCCACAACAGGTGTAGTCAAATCTCTCTCATTAGGCCCAAGAGCTCTGTATTGTTCATCAAGTTTACCCATTACTTCATCAAGTGCATTTGTATCCCTAGAGAGCTGAACGACAAAATCGTCAGGTCCAAGTCCAAAACTAACATAGCACAATTCTTTGGTACCATTTTTGATTTGAAGAGTAGGGTAGGACAGTACAGCTTCTGGGCTAGGTCTGGAAGGGACACTTGTTGACCTTACCTCTTCAACTTTAGATGTTAATCCAAGCATTTCCACAATATCAAGACTCCCCTCATTGAGCTGAATGGTGTTTACCTCACCTACACACAGAACTTTATAATTCAGTAATTTCTCAGCTGGCAGCATATCTTGCAGTTTAGTGCATATGTCTGTACCCCAAACACCTTGAGGCTCACTGGTCTGAAGATTGCATGGTATAGCACATGGCGGAGTGGTCAATAAATTTCCCTCCAAACACTTTAAGCTATCCTTTGCCACTTCCTCACTGTTACCATAATCAACGAAGCAGACAGTTGCCTTACTGCCAGATACTTTAGTCACCTTGGCTCTGTACCAGGCTCCATCTGAAGAATACAATGCAGCACATGCTTGACCAATCTCTACATTGTCAAGTGCTTCGTCTTCTGGTCCAAGGTTCATATATTTGGTTTCAAGCTCTTCCATTACACTATTCAATGTGTCCTCTATTGTAGCTAGTTGTATAAACATCAATGATGGTGACTCAACATGAGTTACATATACATCCGCAATGTCTCCTACTTTGACACTAACTGGTGGGAACTTTGCTATTTGACTTTTGACTGCTGACTTGCTTTTTGTTTTAGATTCACCTGGGACTAGATTAAGGATTTCTTCATTGATGTCTTTAGCACCTTCATTTAACTGCACATACACTTTACTCCCTTGTACACTTAGAATAGTTGCAGAGAACTCGGCTCCACCAGCAAGCTGTTCAAACTTGTCTATGGCTACTTGGGGATATGTGGTAACTTGATCAGATAATGAACACTGGAGGGCTTGGATTGGAAGCTTGGTAAATGCTTGAGTGAGAGGCTTTGTGTCTGTTAATGAGACAGTTTCACTATTTCCATAATCCACAAACAGAACCTTAACTTGCCTATTGGGAAGACATTGTATCACTTTAGCTCTATAATACGCCTGATCTTCACTGAACTTAGCAGCACATGTTGCACCAACTTTATTACAGCTTGCAGAATCTTCACTTTGGCCTTGACCTTTGTAATACTCATCCAGCTTGGCCATCATATTGTCAATTGAAGTAAAGTGATCATTCATCTGACAATAGAAGTCATCAGGGGACTCAATAGATGTAACTGTAAGAAGTATAGTTTTGTTCTCAAATTTCTTTGCATCAATGTTGGTGAATGTCCCTGTCTGAGTTGGTGTGACAGAGGCTGAGGGGGCTTCCCATTCATTAATGGGCGCTGACTTGCTGACTACAGATTGACTGCCTCCAAATCCTCCCTGGGCATCCCCTGCTCCACCTCTTGAGGCACTAAATCCACCTTTGGCTCCACTTCCAAATCCAGCACCACCACCGAATCCAGCTCCGCTACCATAGCCTCCAACTGGAGTCTTATCCCTTGAAGCTCTACCATCACTAGAGGACCCTCGTCGGTCCCCACCTCCCATACCTCCTCTTCCAGCTCCGAACCCAGGAGTAAAACCATCATCTCCTCCAGAAGACCGAGCGATTCCTCTCTCAATCAATGCTTCAGCTACATCCATCTTTCTGTAACCCTTCAGCTCAACGATGTATGTATCACCTTCCTTCTTCATAAATGTACATATTGAAGACTGGGCTGCTGCTTTCTCAAATGCACCTTTAGCATCTGCTCCCCATTTTGCACCTACTGGTTCTACACCGTGAAGTTTACACTTAATTGCCTGAGCAGGTACATCTAAGAACTCTGGTTGAACTTCTTTGAGTATAGATACATGTACCTTTTCAGAGTTACCATAATCAATGAACAAGACTTTTGCTTCTTTGTTATATGTCTTATCCAAAATTGTAGCTCTATACCAGGCCTCATCTTGGAAGTATTTAGTTATGCAGGCCATACCTGGCTCAGAGTTCATCAATGTGTTCTCCTCAAAGCCCATTTTAGCATATGTTTTGTGAACTTTTCCCATTACACTATTGATTACATGTTCATTGTCAAACAATTGGCAGTAGAAATCATGAGGATTGTTAGTCCATGTGATGGCTATCTTTTTAGTGGAACCTTCAGGGACATCTATGTTTTTAAACTTGGCGTTGGTTGATGCTTTATTGCTACCAAGTGGAGCTGGTGGAGCAACTACGGGTGCTTGTCGACCTGATGCCTTAGAGCCACTGCCTGATGATACAGATGAGACACTGGCCACAGAATTCGATCTGGCAGATGCGCCTCTAGCAGAGCCAGATCTAACAGAAGGTGGGGGTGTGTTGATAGCCATTGCTTTACCCATCAAAACAAGCTCCTTGTTGATTATGATATCATTTGATCCTGTACTATCTAGTAACTCAATCTGGAGATCACCATTTGGGCTTTTAGATATGACAGAACCCACTAAGCTTTTTTCATTCACAAGATCTTCAAATGCTTTAATTTCTACATCTGTCCAATTCTGGCCAATGGGCTTTACATTGTTGAGACTGCACTTAAGAGCTTGCATTTGGAGCTTGGCATACTTTGGTAGAAGTTGTTTAATATTGTCATATGGGACAGTGTCTGTGTTTCCATAATCAACAAAGAAGACCTCGACTTCCTTCGAGCTGGCTGCAGTGATACTTGCCCTGTACCAAGTACCATCTTGTGTGTATTTAGCACAACATATCATGTTTACTGTTGGCCTGTCTATACTGTGCTGAAGGTAGCTCATGGCCTCGTACTCAGCATGCAGTTCCTCTAACATCACATCTATCTGCTGAGCATTCTCCGTCAACTGACAGTAGAATGAGTTGGGGGTATCAATGTACACCACGCTAAGGTCCAAAAACTTTCCACATGCAACAGATACTGCTTGTAGTTTGATGTTCCCAGTTTCTAAAGGTGTGCTTGACCTAGCACGTCTTGGTTCGCTGCCTCCCTCTCTTAGATCATGCTGTGAGAAACGACCAGCAGGTTCAGAGGGTGGTTCCCTCCCCATTGTCTCATGAGTTGATTCCTGCCATGTCTGCCATTGGGAATTACTTCCGGAGGCAGGTGGTGGGGGTTCTCTAGGAGCACTAGTGGGCATCCTGGGTGCTTCTTGAGACCTTACAGCTGATGTGCCAACAGGTTTACTCTGTTGAGTCTGCTGAGCCTTTGACCTGGCTGTGGAGAGTTTACCAGGGGATGGGAAAGGTTGAATTGCAGGCATGGCAATATGTGGTCGATTCTTAGGGAGTCTTTTGGTCTGACCACCAAACACTTCATTCATGTTGGAGCCATCAGACTCTTGAAAAAGTTCAACTCTGTATATCTCTTCAATCTCATTTCTGGAATCAAACAGGGCTTTGTATGTCAAACCCGAATCCATAAAAGTTTCCTGAAAAAGTTTGATCTCACTTTGAGGCCATTCATCGTCATAGGATTTCACATCATTGAGACTACAATAGATGCTTTGGATTGGCAGCTCGAGGAATTCTTTTGTTATCATTCGAAGATCTTCTTTGGGAACAACTTCTCCATTTCCATAATCCACAAATTCTATCTCAATAGTGTTATTTGGTCCACCGGCTGTAAATCAAATGTAGTTATGCATGTCATATGATATTTTGAGAAGCTACCAAAATGCAGCATTGTAATTGTAATTGCCTTAATTGAAAATTAGAGTCAATATCGATGATAAACCATATAACTTTGATAACCATAATATCAAAAATGAATGTTAATGCTTCATTTTTCAATGTTTGTATTCAATCTGATTGAACTATATTATCTATGAATGGATACAATATATCTGCACAATGCACCTTCAAAAAAGAAATTCATCTCTTGGCTTTTACCTTAAAGTCAGCAGTAGGCAAAATATGTTGTCAATGGAAGCATTTATAGCAAATTTTATGGTGTCTTGGAATAAACTGATCGTACTTTTGTGCAAGATCTTTGAATCCTATTAAAATGCTGAAAGCAAAATCAATCACCATCAATAATGTACTTACCAACAATTTGGGCTCTATACCAGCCATTGTCCACACTATACTTGGCTAGACAGGGTAACCCAATACCAAAAGCAGTCATCATGCCCTCGCCTGGACTCAAAGCAGAGCAGTAAGCTTCTATATCATCCATCAATTGGAACAGCTCCTCCTTTAAATAATAACAGCACATTCTGTTCAAGTTCATCTACCATTAGATCAGCATGGAATGCCCACTGATGACTTAGCATGGAATGCCTACTGATGACTTAGCATGGAATGCACACTGATGACTTAGCATAGAATGCACACTGAATAGCATGGAATGCACACTGATGACCTTGCATGGATGCACACTGATGACTTAGCATGGAATGCCCACTGATGACTTAGCATGGAATGCCTACTGATGACTTAGCATGGAATGCCCCCTGATGACTTAGCATAGAATGCACACTGATGACTTGACATGGAATGCACACTGATGGCTTAGCATGGAATGCCAACTGATGACTTAGCATGGAATGCCAACTGATGACTTAGCATGGAATGCCAACTGATGCCTTAGCATGGAATACCAACTGATGCCTTAGCATGGAATACCTACTGATGACTTAGCATGGAATACCTACTGATGACTTAGCATGGAATGCCCCCTGATGACTTAGCATAGAATGCACACTGATGACTTGACATTGAATGCACACTGATGGCTTAGCATGGAATGCCAACTGATGACTTAGCATGGAATGCCAACTGATGACTTAGCATGGAATGCCAACTGATGACTTAGCATGGAATACCAACTGATGCCTTAGCATGGAATGCCTACTGATGACTTAGCATGGAAGGAATGCACATGAATGACTTAACTTTGACAAGTCTTCTTGATTCTGGTTGATGTAGAATGAACGATTTAACATTGGTGGGTCATGTTGATTAATGTTAACTGGTCTTGAAGATAAAATAGATGACATGACATGATTTGGTTTTTGATGATACACAAGGGTAGCCTTTGATGGCAAATATTCAACAAGAGGCGATTCTTCAAGATCATTATAAGGTGCATCCTACTAAACTTTCATTTTAGCCTCTTGCTTAATATTAACTCACACATAGCTAGGCAAGGTGTGCCCAATTCCAGCCAATCAGAACACGCTATTTCATCTAACTGCATTCCGTTATATAACCGATAACAAATTCAAAGTCACTTTAAACAGTTCTCATGGTGATGACTGGACTATATAGATTGAAATTGAGACTTTGCCAGCTCCGCATCTCATGCAAATTTTGAAAAGCACCAGGAATGGTCATTCCACATTGCCCTTAGTTCAGGGCTCAAATCCTTAAACACTCCAACATTTTCCACTTTAAGACATGATACTAAATATCTGTTTACCTGTGAGGAGACCAGCTGGGCATGGAAATGTTCAGGATCCTTGCAATGAGTGATAGTAACATCTTCCATCATGCCAATCTCAAT